TGTATGCTGATATAATATGGTTACCTTGAATCTCTGTTTAAAATGAATTAACTTATTTTTCTGTATACTCATAGAGATATTTAGCTATAAGAACAAATGTGTTACTGGTTACTATTAATCAACTTGTTTACTTGTCTGTATATTGATAGAGATAGGCATTACTGTTATGAATTTAATACTTTGTTAAGATAAATTTAAGTTCACATGTAGTCTTATTAACTTTTCATAATCAAATGTTAAGTTAATAACAAAATAAGAACTTTAATAGTCCTGTATTTTGTATATTTAAGGGGGGGCGTGTCATGAATTTGATTATGAAAATAGAATAGTATTTCATAAGATTTTTTTCAGAGCTGCAACGAAAAAGCTAGAAATCTGTTTGTGTCCAGGTGCTAATTAGAGAGAAAATGTACAAGGTCAGTTCTTCTCCAGCTAAAGAAAAAAAAGAGTTAAGAAGAGCAAGCTGACCCATATCTTATCTCAACTCCATGGACAAGGACATAACTTCTTAATTTAAGGAAGATGGGCGAAGAGAGACAGAAGAAGGAAGAGGACGGAGAAGAGATGGAAGGGAGAGACGACACACCGAGAGAAATGCAGCCGACAGGACTTTATCTTTGCGTAAGAATGCTTATTTAAGATATAGTTAGTGAGTTTATTGTTTTCACTTTTATAGAGGAAATGACTGGTGGCTAAGGCTGGGGGTTATTTTGGAAATACTAAATGACATTAAACTAAGCTTGTTGAAATGTTATCTTTTGTAATAAAATATAAAAAGACAAATTGTCTGTAAGCTGTCTCCTTGTTTAGACCAAGCTACAGTAGTAAATTGGATATTTTTGACTTAGATTGTTTTGATCTGGCCACATTACCATATTACCAAATGAGGGTCCTAAAGTAAATAAAGAGGAAGAGCAGACCTTCCAGATTGTTTATTTAAAATCGAGACAGACTTGGGTGAAGGAGTGTGAAGTCGCCTAGAGCAAAATTACCGGACCCGGTTTTGCTGGCATTAGGGACTAATCATTCTGAATCCCTCTCTGTCTCGTGTAAAGGCAGTTCTTAGGAACGCTTTTACCACACAGCATGAATTCAGATAACGGATGAAGGAGGTCCAGTGTGAAGCCTAAGCAAGCATACCATCCTAATTGGGAGAATATAACGCACCTGCATCTTCATGAGAATTATAGGTGGAGAGTTGTGTTATGCCTCTTTGAAGCTAATTGGTTTACAGCTATGAAGTGTCAAGAAGAGGGAGGTGTTAGAAATGTAGAAATGATGGAGGAGAGGACATGTTAGGGAGCTTCTCTTAGCTTATGCCAAGCTAGAAGGAATTCCTGATGGATTGTGTTATGTAGAGAATGTAGAATGGTAAGGGGTGGGAATAGCCCACCATAACTTAGCTCTTACTATTTCTTATTTTTAATGAGAAATAACAGCTGTATTTAGCTATTGTAATATTTGGACATGTTTAATGCTACTGCTTTTGCAAACAAGCTGTTTCTATGAATCTTTATTTTCTTAATAAAAATAATTATAAAATCTCAATTAAGGTCTAGTCTCTTGGATCAGAAGGGTTAGACAAAATCCAGTGGAATGGAAAAGGTCACTAACTAGCTACTATAGAGAAGTCCTACCTTACTGAGCTGTTGTGAGTTCTGAGGAATCACAAAGCCCATGTTTAAGTACTTTCAAAGTACTGAGTAAAGTGATGTGTTCTTTAATGGTCAGGCTTGTAAATGGTACAAATGCTCTGCTCTGCTGAGGCTTGAGGACTTACCTCAGTAAAAAGAGATAGATTTGTGCCCAAAGTGACTCCCTGTCCAAACTCCATACTCTCCTTAGGGATACTTGGACATCACAGTCTCCTTGTCCAGTTCCCAGTGTAGGTCATCCACCACGGCAACCAAAGCAGTCTCTATCCCATAACCAGGTCTGAAACCAGACTGAAATCAGTCTAAATAATCTATCTCATCTAGGAATACCTGAATATGAGAAACCACAACCCACTTCAGCACCTGCTAAACAATGGAATTTTAAGAGACTGGTTGGTAATTATTCAAAGAAGGCTTTTTAAACAGGCGTCTTACTATTGCCTCCTTTAAGCGTGCTGAGAACTTTCCTTGCTACAAGGAGGCATATACCACCTACCCACTCAAACCAGTCCTTTTCTGGCAACTTTTATAAGCCAAGAAGGGCAAAGACACATGTGGCAGTCTTCAACTGTCCAAGGGTCCTGTCCACATCATCAGGCTGCAGAAACCGAAACACGTCCTTTAACACAGGACAAGAGAGACCATAGTTACATTCACAGGACCTGAATCAACTACAGCATCCAAGTCAGAGCAGATCCAAGCAATTTTTCCTGCATAGTGTCGTGCAAAGTCTTCATAGCAAGATACAGTATGGTCTGCAGTCTCTTTCTTTGGGCCATGATATAATTGGTCTTCGACCAGTGGAAAAAGCTTTGTGCAATCACAAAGGTGGCAGAGACAAATGACTTCTTTGGCACTACCACTGCAATGGAGTAGGCCTTCCAATAGGCCATAGCTTATGTTTGGTCAGATTCAATCCAAGTTTTCCACTATTGTCGCTGCAGTCTACATCCCTCTTCTGGCTCTACTTTGTGGGAGGAGACATTTAGGAACAATCCTGACTCTTCTGATTTCCTCATTCCAGAAATCAAAGAGGGCTTCAACAGAATCACCTTCCAATGGTGTAAGAAAACTTCCTACAATCAGTCAGGAAACTATTTAGATCCATCAGCCTTCTGGGACAAACCATCTTAGTCTGTACCCCACCCCTGTAAAGATTCTGAGTTCCAGTGAGTCTAAAACCCACCAGATAATGATCTGTCCATGACAATGGAACTACAGAGAGTTGTTCCACACCCAGGTCATCAACATTTACCCCAGCACCGAAAACTGGATCTAAAGTGTGCTCTGCAGCATGGTTGGGGGCAAATATTATGTAGGACAGGCTCATGGTTGACATGGAAGTCATGAAGTCTTGAGCCAGTCCTAAAAGAACTGCTTCAGCATGGAAACTGAAGGTCCCCAGCACAAGCTGAGGGGAATCCAGCAAGGAAACTGAAGGCCCCCTCAACAAGCTGAGGGGAATCCAACACCAGGGCCAATATCAGCAGAATGGGCAGTACATAATCCCTGTTCTGTCCCAGGCTCTACTTTCAGAAACACACATTCAAACCCAGGGAACTGGGGAATGCTACATCTGGAAAGAGGGATGGAATCATGACAGAACACTGTAAGCCCACCTCCCTGCACCATCCCAGGTCTTGCCTGCTGCTGCACTGAAAATACTGGTAAATAAAGCTGAATGAGATTGATATTCTCAAGCTCATCAAAGCAAGACTACAACACAAGCCACGGTGACATGTTCATGCAGTATCAAGATGGCTGTTGTTTCCCATTTACTGGGAATCTGCTAGCATTTAGCAGCAGAGCAGCACTTTCAGCTGATTGGTTGTTTTCAGAGCTATCCAAACTATTTAACTTTGGAGACAGCTTAGGGGCAACCAATACTCACTTCTCCTTCCCTTGTATATGCTGCTGAAACTGTAATCCATCATATACTTTCCTGCCCTGAACAATTCTGATGGCTGCTCCCAGACTCCCCATATAAAAACACACCATTCCACAAGGAGCCCAATGCCCAGTTTACTAGTTTCTCCACAAGTACATAAAAGAAAGATAGCAGTAATGAGTAGGAAAGAAAGCTCTTCTGGAGGCATGGCACTCAGATCACTTAACTAGCAACTCCTTCTGTGACTCCAAGCGCAATGCTAAGTGTGCACTTTCTATCCTTTTAATAGCTGGCTGGATAGCTTTTTGTATTATGTGTCTGGCAGCAGAGCCACAGGTCTGGAATTCGATTCCCCACTGTGTCTCCTGCAGGGCCAGATTCTGTGGCCCTGGGAAAATTGCACAGTCCCAGGTTCCTCCCAAAAAGTAAAACACTTGTTGAGTATTCTCTGTCTGGAAAAGATTAAAAAGGATCATCGTAAGTCAGAATTGACTCGACAGCATATGACTATTATTACATCTTTTTAATGCCATTTAAATTCCAATTTAATTAGAATAATAGAAAATCATAGAATCATAGAAAAGTGACGTTGGAAAGGGCCTACAAGGCAATCAAGTCCAACCCCCTGCTCAACACAGGAATCCAATCAAAGCGTATCAGTCAGGTAATTATCCAATTTTTTTCTTGAATGCCTCCAGTGTTGGAGCACTCACCAACTCCCAAGATAACTGGTTCCACTGTTGTACTGCTCTAACAGTTAGGAGATTTTTCTTGATATTCAACCGAAATCTGGCTTCCTTTAACTTCAGCCCATTTTTGCATGTCCTGCACTTTGGGTTGATCAACAACAGATCTTGTCCCTCCTCTGTATGACAGCCTTTCAAATATTTGAAAAGTATAACCCCTCAGCCTTCTTTTCTCAAGGCTAAACATGCCCAATTCTTTCAGCCTTTCCTTGTAAGGCTTGGTTTCCAGCCCCCTGATCATCCTTGTTGCCCTCCTCTGGTTAGGCCTCACCTTGAGCTGGACACAATTCTCAAGGTGAGGCCTAAGCAGTGCCAAATGGAGGGGGAATAGCACCTCACAAGATTTGGAAATTATACTTCTATTAATGCAGCCTAAAAAAGCATTTGCCCTTTTTGTGGCCACATCACACTGTGGGCTCATATTTAACTTATCTACAACAATAACAAGATCCTTCTCGCTTGTTGTTTTGCTGAGCGAGGTATGTGCAGTTGGTTTCTTTTTCCGAGGTGCAGTATTTTGCACCTATCCCCATTGAATTTAATTCTGTTGCTTTCAGCCCAGTGCTCCATCCTATCAAAGTCAATTTAAATTTTCTTTCTATCTTCCAGGGTTTTAGTTATTCCACCCAATTTTGTATCATCTGCAAATTTGACAAGCATTCCCTGCACTCCCTCACCCAAGTCATTAATAAAACTATTGAAGAGCACTGGGCCCAGGACTGAGCTTTGGGGTACCCCACTTGTCACTTCCTCCCAGTTTGAAAAGGACCCAGTACTCATCACCCTCTGAGTATGATTCTGTAGCCAATTATGTATCCACCTGACACTTGATCTCTCCAGCCCACAGCTAGTTAGATTGCTAATCAGGGTATCATGGGGCACATGGTCACTCTCACCCAGAGTTCCCCTTACTGCCACTTCCCCCACCAAGTCATCTCTGTTGGTCAGAATCAAGTCAAGGATAGCAAATCTTCTAGTTTCTTTCTCCACTTTTTGTAGGAGAAAATTATAAGCCACACAAGCCAGGAATTTCTTGAAAGGGCCACACTTAGCAGAATTTTCCTCCCAACTTATATCTGGATAATTGAAACCTCCCATCACTTCTATGTCATGTCTCTTTAGAAACCTTGCAATTTGTTTTTCAAAAATTTCACCTGCTTCCTCTCTTTGATTGAGTGGTTGGTAGCAGACTCCCAACTACCAAGTTCCTTTTGTTTTTTGCCCCAACTAGATTGATCCAGATGCTCTTGGTGGGACAGCCAATCTCCTCCTCCTGTATTTCTGTGCAGGAATGCACATTTTTGACATATAATGCAACTCCACTTCCCTTTTTATTCTCTCTGTTCTTTTTGATCAGTTTTATACCCCTCAATTGCTGTATTCTAGTCATGGGAGTCATCCCACCAAGTTTCAGTTATTCCTATCAAGTCATACTTACCCTCCTGAATTAAAATTTCTGGTTTTTCTTGTTTGTTTCCCATACTCCTGGCATTCGTATACAGACAACAGAGGTTGTGTGATTAGTGTCCTGTTTGTCTTTGTACAGTGTTATGAATATTATGATTATTATTATGTTTTATGATTTTTATTGTGATTATTATTGCTAATGGTATTATTGTTGCCCTTTTGATCAGTTTGGTCCATTCCTCTTATTGTTTGTAAAGCTTCATCTACCCTTAACTTTGTGCTTGCGTCTCCCTCCCCCTTCCAATTCAGTTTAAAGCCTCCCTGATGAAGTTCTTCATGCCATGGGCAAATACATTCTTCCCAGTCCTTGTTAGATGCAAGCCATCTCTTGCTAGCAGTCCTTCTTGCAAGAAGCTTAGCCTGTGGTCCCCAAAATTAAATCCCTCTCGTCAACACCCCCTTCGTAGCCTGTCATTCACCCAGAGGATCTTCCTTTCTCTTTCAATTTCTCTTCCGAGCCCTGGTAGGATGGATGAAAAAAACTATCTGGGCTCCAAAGTTCTTTTTTTTTTTTTTTTTGGACTTATATACCGCCCCATAGCGCTACAAGCACTCTCCGGGCGGTTTACAATTTTTTAAAATTATACAGGCTACACATTGCCCCCCCCCAGCAAGCTGGGTACTCATTTTACCGACCTCGGAAGGATGGAAGGCTGAGTCAACCTTGAGCCGGCTACCTGGGATTTGAACCCCAGGTCGTGAGCACAGTTTTAGCTGCAGTACAGCGTTTTAACCACTGCGCCACGAGGCTCTTCTTGAATTTCCTTCCCAGAGCTTCAAAGTCATACATGATTTTTCAGTTGCTCCCCTTGGCTGTGTTGTTTGTTCCAATGGGGACAAGAAGAAAGGGATATGTATCTGTAAGTTTTATGAGTGATGGCAATCCTTCCATCACATCCCTTATGCGTCCTCCAGGGAGACAGCATACGTGGTGAGTCTATGGATCCTCCCTACTACAACTAATATCCTTGTCTTCTTTTCATGGACTCACCTCCCTCTATTACCATCTCCATGCAAGAATTGGAGGTTGTTCATGACTTTGTGTACCTTGGCTCAACAATCTCTGACACTCTCTCCCTAGATGTCAAGCTGGATAAATGCATTGGCAAAGCAGCTACCATGTTCTCTATACTCACAAAGAGAGTATGCTCAATTAGAAGCTGATAACATATACCGAGATCCAGGTCTATAGAGCCTGTGTCCTGAGCACACTCCTGTACTGCAGCGCGTCCTGGACCCTTTGTGCACGACAGGAGAGGAAGCTGAACACCTTCCATATGCGTTGCCTCTGACACATTTTTGGCATCACCTGGCAGGACAAAGTTCCAAATAGAATAGTCCTAGAACAAGCTGGAGTTTTTAGCATGTATACATTACTGAAACAGTGATGTCTACATTGGCTTAGGCATGTTGTGCAAATGGCTAATAGTCGGATTCCAAAAGATCTCCTGTATGGAGAATTAGTGCAGGGAAATCACCCCAGAGGGAGACCACAACTGCGATACAAGGATCTCTGCAACCAGGATCTGAAGGTCTTAGAAATAGACCTCAGCAAATGGGAAACCTTGACATCTGAGTTTTCAGCCTGGAGGCAGGCGATGCATCACGGCCTCTCCCAATTTGAAGAGACACTTGTCCAGCAGGCCGAGGCAAAGTGGCAGTCATGAAAGCAACAAAATCAGGGAGCTGGACAGGGGACAGATTGCATTTGTCTTCAGTGTGGAAGGGATTGTCACCCTCAAATTGGCCTTCTCAGCCACACTAGATGCTATTCCAAGTCCTCCATACAGAGCATGTTACCATAGTCTTTCGAGACTGAAGGATGACTAACATAAGCTTCAGGGTCTGTATTCTGCTGTGCTTCAGCCCTACTCATGTCCTCTGCATGCTGTCTGACCGACTCTTCTTCAAGTAACTGAAAACAGTTTTGTAGTTCCACTGGGAAAGAGTGTCTTATCCCTCTTTTGTTCCTAACTGTGATTCTTTTCCATGGTGGAAAAGAACAGATTTTATTTTACAATTTTATTACATTTGTATTGCACAATTCCTCCGATATCACTTCAAGGAAACATATAGGATTTTCCCATCCCTTACAGTATGTGAAGTATCCACTCTGAAATTGTCTTTTTTTTTTTTTTTTTTTTTTTTGATTGGTGTAGTGAGATGATGCTTGGGTGAGCCATCCAAAAATTTCTGGTTGGATGCTTCCAACAGAACTGCTATTAGTTTTCCTTTTGCAGTTTCAGGAGCAGAAGAGGAAGAGAAGGAGGAGCAGAAATAATCACACAATTTACCTGTTCCTGCTTGAGTATCCTATTTTCTAAGATGTTTTGGTTTGACAGTGAGACAACAGGGCTCTTTCCTGTATACAGACCTTCATCCTCAAGATACCTTGGCTGAAGATTATCAGGTACCTTCAAGGAGGCAGGCACTAGAAAAGGAAGAGTAATAACACACATACACACACCATTATTAATTACTGTTCATACTTCTGTTAACATCATATATATGTCGCTTTCAAGTAGCACAAATCTTTGTTCAAGCCACACTGAATATGATTTAAATAAAAATAAAATTGTTCCAGTTGTGTAAACTCTGGAATTGAGACTGAAGCAAAAGTGGAAGCAACTAGCTGGGAGGAGCCTGGCAATGGATCAGGCACAGGTGGAAGTGCAAAAGGAAGTAGTCCTTTAGACAAGATTTTTAGATGCCCCAATCAGTTAACAAATCAGACTGCAGCCACAGAACTACTGTCAAGTTTGCATCTTATACTACTACAGCACATATGTTCCACATTATCCAAAATTTCTATACTCTCTTATTTTCATCATAGACTAGCTGTTCAAAACAGAAAAAGATTTTAGTGGCCTGTTTCATTTATTTCAGAAGCAGCTACGTAATCCACATGTAGCTTTGCTTCAGACTGCAACATCAATGACAGTCAAGATCTAAATGAAACAATTAAGAGAGTGATACTCCGTGAGTGAACT